CAGAACACCAACACCCTGTTCTGTGCTGCCAGGAACACCCTCCCTTCTTCTCTACACCCCTGCTAAGGCTCCTGAAAGACCCACTCTGTCTCAACTCCAGCGATCTGAGCTCGCTCTGAGGGCTCACTCATTTCTAGACAATGTAAGAACCTAGAACATTCCTCCTTAAAAAATATACATTAAATAAATCAATCCAAAATTGATTTAGGGGATGACATATGTGATCATATGCCACTAGTTTTCCCAGGAAAGTACCAACATATATCTCTTCATTTCATAAAATCAAAAAATATCTCAGTTTACACAAAAAAATATGGCCACCCTACCCATCCTATGGGCAGGACCTTCTCTCTTTTGAGATTGAAAGAAGGACAAGTGGACATACAAGTTAATATTTAGTATTTTGCTAATACCCTCAACAAAACTGGGAAGGGGTTTACGTCATTCCAAGTTCCACATGTTAATGTTCCTGCCCCACCCAGTGCCCACCAATATGTACCAAGTGCCTTCCCCTCACACTATTCCACACCCTCTACACTCAAAGATTTGGTACAATTATGTTTCTTCTTTTCAACCGCGTATTTTTATCTTCCAGAATATCCTAGGTGACAACTAAGCAGATAAATGAATCCTGCCTCGTGTACACAAAAGAAGACCCTTTCTTTTCTGGTGGCCCTGCCTTTTTAGGTGAGCTACCTCTTCTTGGATGACCTACTGGCATTGTGATACCACATGTTTCTTTGCTGGAGTAACTCAACAGTGGGGATTTGGCTCTGTGGCAGCAGCTAGAAAGTGTTGTGACAGAGTCAGAATCCCAGCAGCTACACTCCTACTTACTCTTTCAAGGTGATGGACTTGCTTTTCTCTGTCTCCTTCCTCAGGTTCCTCACCAACACATCTCCATAGTGGCCAATGATGGAGAACATCTACACACAAAATATACCACCACGTGAAGTTAAATTGGAAAGTGAAGTCCAAGAATGATGTGGCTTTCATAAGCATGTGGCAGTAAGGGACATTTAATAACAAACTTTATCATGTCTTTCCTAGGACATGAAGATAAAGACCATTTTTAGGAAGCCCAAATTTAGCATACTACCCCTTAAAGATGGAATATGATCTTATTTCCTACCAGCCCCCAGATATATTCCTTAACTTTCTAATTGAGAGTCCTCTTCTTTTCTTACCTCCTTGAGCTTTCCGCTAGTGAAGGTTGGAGACAGCAATGTTCGCATTCTCTTCCATTCTTCATCCTCAGACAAAGAAACTGAACTTTTCATAAATCCCACTGGACCAAAACACTAGTCAAAGAAAAACACAATTTGCCCTACATAAGTTTTGGAGGTCTTAAAGTTTGTGGAAAATTTGTTAAAAAGGCAGAAATTATTCAACAAATATTTAGTGATTATCAACGTAATAGTAGGTCCGATGGTAGGTGAGCAACAGATATTTATCCCCAATGCCTAGCCTTCTGCAAGATTGAGGACATAACCAGCCACTTGATGTGCTTTCCAGACTTTATAGTCCACCTCCTTTTCAATGTAAATGTGGTATGGGAAAATTTGGCAGGGAAACTACTCCTCCAGGGGAATACAGAGGATTAACACCTAGTATATTCTCCTAAACTGTGCAGAGTAGTAGAATTGGATTGGTGGAAGACAGCCAGATAGACTGGAAAACTGAATGTTGCCTCAGACCAGTTCTGCCTTTACATATACCCACAGCATGAGAAACTCAAAAAATGGATGTCTTGATATGGTGATTTTTTAAAAAAACATTATAGTTAACACTAAAAACATTAGGAATCTATTTGCTCTTGTGAAGAAATGGTACAGTAACATGGAAATCTCTTCCCTCTATATTTTTCCCAAAGGAAAAATATATACATAAGGAAATAATAAGGAAAAAGAAATAATTCTATTTCCCATCTTGGGATTGGCCTAGCAAGCCAACCAGTTCGAATATTTCTTCCATTTTCCAAAACTATATTTTGTTTTAAAATGGATATCTTCATGGCTAAGATTAACAACTCAGGCAACGATAGATGTTGGTAAGGATGCTGAAAAATGGAAACTCTTGGTGGAAATGCAAACTGGTGCAGCCACTCTGGAAAACAGTATGGAGGTTCTTCAAAAACTTAAAAATAGAACTACCCTACAACCCAGCAATTGGACTACTAGGTATTTATCAGAAGGATACAAACATAGTGATTTGAAGGGGCACATGCACCCCAATGTTTATAGCAGCAATGTCCACAATTGCCGAAATATAGAAAGAGTCCAGATGTCTATGACAGATGAATGGATAACGAAGACTTGGTATATATAAAGTCTTATATATAATATAAAATCTTAAATATATATGTATATAATATAATAATATTAAATAATTATATTGTATATTTATATATAATATTTATATAATATAATATAAAATCTTAAAAAAAGAAACATTATATCAAAAACTAATGATGTACTGTATGGTGACTAACATAACATAATAAAATTAAATTAAATTAAAAAAAGAAACAAAACAGATGAACATAGGAGAAGGGAAGGAAAATAAAATAAGAGGGAAACACAGAGGGAGGCAAACCCTAAGACACTCTTAACTATAGAGAACAAACAAAGTTGCTGGTGGGGAGGGAGGTAGGGGGATGGGGTAACTGGATGATGGGGCATTAAGGAGGGCACTTAATGTAATGAGCACTGGATGTTGTATGCAACTGATGAATGACTGAATTCTACCTCTGAAACTAGTAATACAATATATATCAATTAAATTGAATTTAAATTTTAAAAAGTTTTTAAGATTCTATGTATTTATTTGTCAGAGAGAGAGAGAGCAAAAGCAGGGGGAGCAGCAGGCAGAGGGAAAGGCAGGCTCCCACTGAGCAAGGAGCCCAACGCAGAACTGGATCCCAGGACTCCAGGATCATGATGTGAGCCAAAGGCAGATGCTCAACCGACTGAGCCACCCAGGCATCCACCCAAAAAAAATTTCAATTACAATAAAATGAAAATAAAAAATAAAATGGATATCTCCAACACCATTTCATGATAAAAACTCACAAACTAGGAAGAGAGGAAAAATTTCCTGACTTAATAATGAGCATCTAAAAACCTTACAGCTAACACCACCTCAGTGAGGAAAGGCTGATGTTATAGGGCGCCTGGGTGGCTCAGTTGGTTAAGTGACTGCCTTCAGCTCAGGTCATGATCCTGGAGTCCCGGGATCGAGTCCCGCATTGGGCTTCCTGCTCAGCGGGGAGTCTGCTTCTCCCTCTGACCCTCTTCCCTCTCATGCTTTCTGTCTCTCATTCTCTCTCTCTCAAATAAATAAATAAAATCTTTAAAAAAAAAAAAAAAGACTGATGTTATAACACTAAGATGATGGAACAGACACTCCAGCCTCTGTCACCCCACAAAGAACAACAATTAGACAGCTATCCACAAACAAAAATAGGCCCAAGTGCTTAGGAGTCCATTTAAGAAGTTTCAACAACAGAGTGGAGAAAACTCCTGAGAATAACTGTGCAAGAAAAATAAGGAAGATAACTTCATTTTGCCCGCATTACCCATGACCCAGGCCAGCACTGCTCAGCACCAAGAGGACACTCCCTGACTGAGACAGTTCCCCTTCCTGGGGAACAGCAGAAGGATGAGCAACCATTAGCCCTAGTCCTTCAGAACGTGGCACAAATGACCTGTTCTGGTTTCAAACCTCCCAGAGAACTGGCATGGCTGACATCTAGACACAGCTAGGAACAAAGAAGGGCAGGACTACCGGTATCAGTCAAGTGGCAGGAATGACCATGTTTCTCTGTGTCCTGCTCTGCAGAAGACCCTAGCAGCCTTTGCTGCTGAGGAACCAACAGCCAGTATAGCACTGTGCCCCCTCTAAGATTTTGCTGCTGATAGTCCCACAGGTTTTCACAATTGCAGACTCCAGCTGCCTCAGTCCTGCTGTGTCCCATCTGTACTCACTGGAGTTGCCTCAGCCAGTGCCACCACCAACATTGTGAGCCCCAGAATCTACACCACCAGCCAGTTTGGCCTCTGTAACTCAGCATATGGACAGCACAAGCCCAGGCCCCAGCAGCTTTCAGGTGCCTGAGGTCAGGCCTGACTCCTGTCACTGGACTGCACTGCCACATGAGACCACAGCTAAACCCTGAAGCTGTACACCTTCACACGGCCGGCCTGAACTCCACTCACGAGCCCCCACTGCTGTGCATGCACTACTGGCTAGCCCTGAGCCACGTGAGTGCACACAGACAACCCAGACACTCAAGGCTCCCTGTGTGCCCACAGTCGGACAGTCCCCACCACTGGCACTAGCTCTGTTTTGGGCATGAGCCTGCTTTCAGCCCCTACAGATGAGTGTGTGCATAGCACCAGCTCTTGCCACCATTCTCCTTCCCCAGCCTCCTGGCACTGGATCTGGTGGTGCTGCTGAAGACCCCAACAGCCACTGCAGCCACAAAGAACCCTCCACTGCTCTCGCTGCCAAGGATCATGCAGTTGCTGAAGTTGTGGCCCCCAACTGCCTGAACCAATCATGCCCTCCTGATTATTTTAAATTATCCAGTCAGAGTGAGGTACAAAAATGAAAAGAATTGGGAAGAAAACCTACAGGACTTGTGGGATACCAACAAGTGAAACAATATTCACATCACCTACTGGGAGTCCCAGTAGGTGAGGAGAGAAGTGGACAGAATGCTTACTGAAAGAAACAATGGCTGAAAACTTCTCAAACCTAGGGAAATGTATGGACATCTTGGGACATGAAGCTTAAAGGCCCCAATAACACTGAATCTGAAAAGACTTCTCCAAGAGACATTATAATAAAACTCAAAAATTAAACCCAAAGAAAAAATCTTGAAAGCAGCAAGAGAAAAGGAGCCCATCACATACAAGGGCACATTGTGGGCTGTCAGTGGATTCCTCAGCAGAAATCATGAAAGGCAGAAAACAGTGGGTGATTTATTTGACGTGCTGAAAAAAAAAATACCAACTAAGAATACCTTACCCAGAAAAACAAGGCTTTCAGAAATAAGAGAGAGATAAAGACATTTCCCGAGAAACAAAAGTGGACAGAATTCATTACCACTAAGCCTGCCTTACAAGAAATACTAAAGGGGGTCCTTCAAGCTGAAAAACAAAAAGGGCACTTACTAGGAACACGAAATCACATGAAAGGATAAATCTCACTGGTAAATATAAATGTATAAATTCAGATACAGTGATATTGTAAACTGGTGACGTACAAATTACTTAAAACTCTAGTGAAAGCTTAAAATAGAATTAATTTTAAAAACTATAGCTAAGTTCTTTATAGATCTTGGAGACCAGTCTTTTATCTGTAATGTCATTTGCAAATATCTTCTCCCATTTTGTGGATTGCCTCTAACTAACATAACACAATAAAAAAAAATGAAAAGAGGGGGGCAAATATTATGTAAACACAGATAAGATAATTCTAAATTTGTATGGAAAAGCAAAGGAGCTAAAAGACCCAAACAATTCCAACAAAAAATAAAATGGGAGGAATCACTGCTCATGATGCTGACTTATTATATGGCTACAGTAATCAAGAGAGCCTGGCATTGGTGGAGGCAGAGATACAGAGATCAATGAACAGAACAGAGAATGAGAAATAGACATACACACATATAAGCCAACTCAATTTTGATACTGCTACAAAAGCAATTCAGTGGAGGAAGTATAGCCTTTTCTTAAATGGTGCTGGAGCAATTAGACATCCATAGGCCCAAAACAAGGATCTTCGACCTACACTTCACACCTCACAATTAACACTAAAAATTGACACAAAATGGATCACAGACTTAAATGCGAAACATAAAACCATATAGGATTTACATTATAAATATAAAACATAAAACTATATGGTTAAAGGTAAAACAAAAAAGTAAATACTTGGAGAAGATCCTAGGGCCTTAGGGCTAGGTGAAGATTTTTCAAACTTGATGCCGAAGTCACAACCCATAAATGGATAAAAGGATACACTGGCCTTGTCAAAATTAAAAAAAAAAAACCCAAAATTATGTGCTCCGCTGAAAACCCTGAGATAATGAAGAGACAAGCTACACACTGTGCCTATAAAAGAATAGTAAGAGGGAGACTTTTTGGTGATGGAACAACCCTGTAACGTCATTGGGGTGGTGGATACACAAATCTACATGTAAGATAAATGTTCAGAGAACAACACACACACACACACATACACACATGCACACGAGTGCATATAAAACTGCTCAGATCTGTTTAAGTTCTGTGACTAGAACCAATGTCAAACTCGGCTTGGACACTGTACTATAGTTAAGCAAGATATAACCTTCGAGGAAACGGCTTGAAGGTTACATGACATGGGACCTTCTGTGACAACTTCCTGTGAATCTATTCTTATTTCAAAATAAAAGTTTTATAAGTAACTATGTAAATTTAAAATAAATCCATGCCTACCCGCCGGTTTGTGAAGACAGAGTAACATTCTTTCACGAGTACCGTTTTGATCATGTCCGGATCCATGATAGCCAACACAGGCTGTCGCCCATCATAAAACCTGTGTGGGGAAAATAGACCTGATTACACTTAACATGACAGTTTCTGCAGTTGCAGCCACGCCTGGAAGTCTAGACTTCTATCCTGATGGTACCTAATCCATTCTCTGAGATCATGGTTAGAAAAAACATTAGAACATTTCTTAAGTCTAGGTGTGTACATGGTATTTCCTGGACCATTCTCCGTAATTTTTTGTATGTTTAAAATGCTTCAAATATTTTAGAAGTAGGGCAAACAGTTCAAATATTTTAGAAGTAGGGCAAACCGTTCAAATAATTTATCTATATTAACAAAAAGGAAGTTAGGGTGGTAAATAACTGAAGGCAAGTAAATTATCTAGGAACAAAAAAAATAATGGAGAGTCTGTCTACCCAGTCACTAAAAATTATAATTTTGAAGATATATCAAACACATGAAAGGCATAGGAGAGAATATTAGATGAAAAGTGTGCATACACTGATCACATATATGTAAGATGTGTCTGCAAGTGAAAAGACTTGGAATGCTCAAAAAGTGATGGCAAAATTATGAATTATTTCTTTACTCTATTTACTAAAATATGCTTCCCAGTTACATGTGAACGGAAATATTATTTTTAATATCGAGAGAGGTCCTTGATAGCATTAAGTCAGAAAATTTTGAAACAAAAGAAAAGAGAAAAAAAGAAATACAGAAAAATACATATAACTCATTCTAGATATATTTCCTTTTTATTACTTATATTTATTCTTATATGTGGGTCCCAGGTGTGAGCTCCTTGGGCTTCATGTGACATCCCTAAGCAACGTGGCAAGCCCACTTTTGCACATGTCTCACACAAAGCTGACTCTTTATATGTGATCCATCCCTATCCAGCCTGACTTGACTGCCCCTATGGCCATTAATGGGAATCTGTCCCCAGCATGAGGTTTACTTTAAGCTTAATTATACCATAAATAAATAAAATTTATTTTGTTTCCACTATACATCATTTGCATTTACTAGAAAAAAATGAAAGATTTTCCACAAGTCCCCTATTCTTTCTTTTTTTTATTATGTTATGTTAGTCACCATACAGTACATCATTAGTTTTTGATGTAGTGTTCCATGATTCACTGTTTGCGTACAACACCCAGTGCTCCA